ATAAAGTGGTAACTGAGAGTGAAAGAAATGGTTTTTGTGGTTTAAGATAGCAACAAACACGAATGTTTCCCACTGGGAAAAATCAGAAAAGGGAGCTTAAGGGAGGACACCGGCGGATTTCCTCGTCCATGGATACAAAAATGGATGGGCACCGATTTAGATAAAAGTTTCTTGTTCAAGTTTCGGAACAGGAAATATACTTTCTACCTGATGCGAGAAGTGGGCGTCATCTGTTTAGAATGCGGCAAAGTCAAAAGCAGTAAGATCAATAGCTACTTTTTCTAGCTGATTCGTTTGGAAAGCGATTGAGTCTTTAGGATATTTCAAAAAGTACGTCGTTTAGGACATTTTAAATGAAGGTAACTGGAATAGTAAAACCGAAACTTAGGCAAAGTAACATTTAGTGCTAAAAAACCCAATGCACCCTACCTTGTTGTCTGCCTCCTTAGCGCAGTAGGCAGCGCGTCAGTCTCATAATCTGAAGGTCCTGAGTTCGAACCTCAGAGGGGGCAGTTGAGTTTTAGCCCCACATTGTTTGCTGCTTTGTAACACCTCGCCTTTGGATTGGATTTATGTGATCAGAGACTCGTGAACTTTCTTCCTCCTGGTTGCTTTTCACATTCTACTATGTATTGGTCTTTAGTTGTCATTAACTTACAGAGACTTAGTTATCGTTACCAGTTACCAACATGTAAGCTACTTTGTTGAAGCTCCTTTGATTTCAATTCCTTTTTGGGACAGTACTCTTCCATACAACATAATTTATTGAAAAAGTGAATGGACAGATTGTCCATCAAAGAAAACCTGATACTCATTTTTCTCTACAAGTCTTTTTCTGTTTCTTACATTCATGAAATTCCTTTGCCATGGCCTCTTGAATAATCTGGTCCAGATTTTTCAGGTAGACTGGTTAAATAGTGTTCTGCGAAAATGCCTGGCATCCTGAAACCTCTGAATGTGGCCTTATTTGGAAGTGATGTCTTTGTAGACATAATTAGATAAGTTAAAATGCCATGAGGCTGGAATAACGGGGGTCCTAAATACAGTGCCTGTTGTCTTAACCAAAAGAAAGACACAGAGAAGGTCAGTCTGGTGAAGACAAGCAAAGACTGATCTTACATTACCACAAAAATGAGGAAAGTCTGGTCAGGAGCCACCAGAGGCTGGGAAGAGCCAAGAAAGGATTCTTCTTCAGAGTGTTCAGAGGAACACAGCTCTGCCCACACCTTGATTTTTGGAGTATCGGCCTCCAGAAATGTGAAAACGGTTAATTTCTGTTGTTTTAAGCTAGCCAGTTTGTAATATTTTAAAGCAGCCTTAGAAAACTAACATACTATCCCAACTCCTACCCTCCCCCTTGTTGCCTCAACCTGTTTTACTTTTTTCATAGAATTTATTACTGTATAATCTGTTTTACCTAACTTCTATAATTCCAGTGCACAACACATTAAACATTATTCTTTCCCTTCTATATTCCTTGTCATTATTTTACTACAGGCAATCAACATCTCAAATTTGGATTATTTGGAAATTCCCATAGGAGTCTCACTTTCTGCGGGTCCTCCTGCAGGATCTACCTCTCTGACTGATGAGAAAAGAGAAACTTTTTTTAGCCTTTGCCATGTATGTAGGGATAGCAGAGGCTCTTTCATTATAGGGGAAAACAAATACTACATGTCATGTACCCAACATAAAACAGTGTATATATTGGATTAATAAGAGTTATGTACAGAAAATAATGAAATTTGGGCAGCTTCTCCAAAATGTCTGGACTTTGGGAATCTATATTTCAAGATAGCTCTCTCAACAGTTTGTCCTGGTGCAAACTTAAGGAGGTATATAGCAACTAATTTAAGAGTATCTTCTCAATCCTCCAGCTTTGGCTCCAGTAACCTGCATCTGCCACAGTTGGAAAGAAGAAAGGAAGGATTTGGGAGAAGCCTAAGAGCTATTCAGGCAACTTCTCAGAAAATGACATCACCATTCAGAATCTGTTCCTTTCCTTTGTAGAATCAGAAACTATGTTTAATTCACCTGGAATTTTTTAGCTTTCCAGGATTAACTCACAAGAACTACATGTTAGGGATACTCCAGAATGTGATTACATACTCACACTGGTGACCGGTCTACCTATTCTCTCCTATGTAAAATAAGCTCTACACTAGAAGGCAAATAAGTGACTATGACAGCAAGCAGCTTACCACTGAAAAATCAAGCCAAGCCAAGTTTGTGGCCCCTGCTGGTTTTATCCTTGTTACTTTACTGAACTTGAATGTCCAGAAAACTTTTCTCACTCATGTGGCCACTCACTTGTCATTCACCTCTTGAGCAGGTGACTTCTATTTTACTTCTAGAGACTTCTACAGATGGCTTAAGTCAACCTTTACAAGGAGGGGTAGTAACTTCACTCTGGGTTTTTTTTTGTTTGATTAAATAGTAACTTTATTAAATAGTAACTTCACTCTGTTTATTAAATAGTAACTTCACTCTGTTTTGTTTGTTTTATTAAATAGTTAAATGAAGTTAACAGGCAAAGAAACATGGTTCTGACACAATGCCAGCTACCCTGTGGTATTTAAAGGTTAGATTTTTTTTCACAAAACCTCAGGCCATCTCATACATACAAAGGTCCCATGTCTTAGGCTCACTTTATTTTTTTTATTTATGTTTTCCTTTTCTTTTCCTCCTATGTAATCTGTCCGGTAGAAAAATGACAACGTTTCTGTTTTTTCAAAGATTGCACCAGAATTCAGACTATGTACTTAAAAGTACACATAGCGCCCGAACAGGGACTTGAATCCTGGGCCCTCAGATTAAAAGTCTGATGCTCTACCGACTGAGCTATCCGGGTTCTGAGGGGAGCTTGTTTCCTGTATGTTCTAATGTTAATAAAGGTGCAGGAAATGGTCTGGTGTCCTTTTGTCTTATGCATGTTCTTTTCCTCCTAAGTCTGTGTTTGCTCCCTTTATATATGACTATTTCTGCCCACAGCTCATGGAAAAAACTTCTTTCTGTCATGTAACCCAAACAATTACTTCTACAGGAAGTACATAAGGAGAGTAGTAATCATCTGGTCTGTCTTATTCTTCATTTTCATAGGTTATGCTCCAAGCCCCAGAGACCATGCCAATGCTTGGCATAAAAGAGTGCACAAGTAAGTTTTGAGCACTTTTTATTGCAAGGCATTCTATTTTGCCCTCAGTTCAAAGCCATGGAAAGATACCACCTGTGCCCCTGAGGCATTTGCACTTCAGAAAGGAGGCAGCCACTAAACGAGGAATTATGTGCCATCATTGATTAAATGCCCTCCAGAAAAATTCAGGTTACAAGATATTGAAAGAAACAAACAAGCATAATCTCTTGACCCAAGTGTCCAAATTAAATGACACAAGCAAGCAAACTTTTAGAACAATTCAATGAAATTTAGGCATAATTTGTTATTGTAAAACAATAAAATGTTTTAAAAGTAATAGAATACTATTATAAGTTAGTATTTAATCATTTTTGTTGTGCCTTAGATAAATTCCTTACTGCGTCATTCCCTTTCTTCCCTTAAGTCCTACATAGAAATTTCTTCCTCAAAGGCTGGGTTTAACACAATAATTGTCATTAGGTACATCACTGACAAGTGTTTATTTACAGCACTATTCAAAACCAGATTTGAGGGCCGGACGTGTGGCTCAGAAGTCAAAAATTAAAGTGAGACAAAAATGCATAGCATAACCCCACCCCATCTCCCAGAGACTATTACAAGGGGAGACGACCTCTTGCAGGGGGTTAGAAATGACTTCTCCCAGGAAGTGATGTTTAAACTGAGAACTGAAGACATAGAAATAATTAGTTGGGCAAAAATTTGGCTCTGGTGTCCCAGAAAGTTCCAAGAAAAGAGCACTTTTAGAAGACTGAAAGAAGAGCTGAGGAGCTCAAGTGCAGGGAACTCAGGAGAGTGTTGCTAGAGGTGTGAAGTGAGGTGGACAGGAAGGCAGACAAACCAATGGCTGGTAGGCTCCAAAATTGTGACTGGCAGTGCACAGTGCACACTTCACCATAGCAGCAGCATGAAGCACTAGGAATTTCAAACAGGAAGCAACAACATGATTTTAAAAGATTTCATTGCTGTCATCTAAAGAACGGGTCAGGGCAAGATAAGAGATGATTCAAAAATAAAAAGTAGGTCACTGCAAGCCATGCAGACTTGACATAGTGACTATGAGAAAGGGGAGGAATGGTGCAGAGGAATGGACCATGGAGAAGGCAGCAGAAGACTTGGGGCTGGACCACATCTAAGGACTGAGAGAACAGGAGGTATCAAGGTGATTCATTTTTCCCAGTAGCTCATTTCCAAAATAAGCTCTTTACTGGAAAAGGCAAGAAAAAAGCAGACTGGAATAGGGCTCTTTAGATCTTTCTGAGAGTCCTCTGGAAAGTATGAGGCATTTGCTGTGATCTTAATAATCCTTCTGCAAACCAGAAGAAATTCTTGCTTGTTCTGACCAGCAAGCAAACCCTGAGTGATCAAACACAAACAAGGAGAATCTTGGGAGAAAGTGACCTCCTCAGTGACAGGGAATCTGGTATAACTGGATACAAGTTAAACATGTTCTAGACCTGGGCTTCCAAAATGTTGTCCAACTGACTGTCACAATCTCTTGGAGCTATTGCTAAAAAGTCCAGATTCACAACTTCCATCTCAGGCCCAGAATAATTCAGTACAATTCCAGGAGATTTGTGCCATTGTTACTCTTGTGCTTGTTTGTTTTTTGAGACAGGGTCTCAGGCTCACCTGAGACTCATGATTCTCCTGTCTCAGTCCCCTCAGTGCTGAGATTATAGGTATGTACCACCATGCCCAAAAGATCTGTATTTTAAATAAAACTCTCAGGTGACTCTTGCTTGCTGCCCAGTCGAATTTAGAAATCCCAATATATAAGTTATCTATTGGTATACAATAAATAAAAACAAACCTGGTGGTTTAAAACAACACACATTTATCATCTCACCATTTCTAAATGCAAGGAATCTGAGTATGGTTGAGCTGTTATCTTCTGCTTCAAGGTCTCTTCCAAGGTTATCTGCCAGGCAGGGCTGTGGTATTATCTGAAAGCTCAAATGGGAAAGGATTCACTTTCAAGTTCATGAGGCTGTTAGTAAAATTTAGTTCTTCAAGAGTTGTTGACCTGAGAGCCTCAGTCCTAGCTAGATATTGACAGGAAGCCACCCTAAATTGCTTGCTACATGGATTTCTACAATACTGAAGCTTGCTTCATCAAAAAGTACAAGCCACGAAGTCCAAAGAGAATCTGCCCACAAATCAGAAATCACAATCTTACAAAACCAAAAATAAATTTATGTCTGGCCAGCTCCTACACATTCTTCTCAACATCCTAATTTAATTCCTTGGTGGTCTAGTGCAATGAGACTGAGGGGAATTGTGTGTGGGGGCGTTGTTTTTATTGTCTCCTTTGTTTTTCATATGGAATGTCCAGGATGGTGGAGTTGTGATCTGGTAGCAGTTGCTGCAATCCCAGAAAAATATAGTGAAAGAGAACCAAATCCCTCCTCTCTCTCTTTACACTGTAGACCTGATAAGTTTATTCTTGACACTGGTGTTTCTTTAACAGAGACAATTACCAAGAATATCTGGAAGGCATTTGAAAACTGTCCTAGCTCTGATATGAAAACAACAGGAACAGTTTTGGAGTATTTAATTCTTAGTGAAAAAGCACTAATTTATAACTGAAGATTACATGCTCAGTTAATCAGAAAATTATCCATTCAGTCTTATCAAAGTATTTTCTTGTTTTTCAAGAAAAAACACATCGTACTTTTTTTAAGGAAAGAGTAGAGAGAAAAAACAAAGACTTGTTAACTGTTTATCGTTTTGCTTTTCTTACGGGTTGAAGAATAAGGAAAAATTAACTGCCCCCTCTGAGGTTCGAACTCAGGACCTTCAGATTATGAGACTGACGCGCTGCCTACTGCGCTAAGGAGGCAACCGTCTATTTTTCTCCAACAAATCTCCTACCAACATCACTACAAGGACGAATCAGTTTAAATTCCTAAATTGTTGTTTTTCAAAATAACGTGCAACTGTGATTTAATTAACAAAGTCACGCAGGACAAAGCAGAGCCGACACCCAAGTCCAATCCCGTTTCCCACGGGGCCGTGGGACAACTATGTCTGGACTTTGCAGACGTCCTGAAACAGGACCTGTGTTATTGTCTCACTGCTTGGTTTAGGGACAGCAGCCTTTCCCGCTAAAATCAGAGCTTTCGTAGATGGGCGGCTTCTGAAAGGCAGACAAGACGTCAACAGCAAGAACTGCGCTCCTTTACCTTCCCCGTGAGCTTCCGTGGCGGCGCGCGGTCTCCTGAATGAAAGAAGGCGGCCAGGGAGGTGTCAGGACTCTCCCCGTTTCTCTTCAGCAGCAACCAACAACTCATCCTGGATTTCGAAGAGAACAACTAGGAGCCTCCTGGTGGCCCACCTGCAGCTTCGGTGCAGAGTTTACGTAGGAGCGGTGAAGAAGCCAGGTGTCGGCGTGTACCGGGAGCCAGAGGACGTGGTACCCGGGAGACCTGCCCGGGTGCGCACTGAGGAGAAAGCGCAGCGAGGAACGGATCCCAAAGCGCTGTGAGACTTCGCTGAAGTATGGCTCGGGAGGGACCTGTAGGTGGTAGCGTGGCCGAGCGGTCTAAGGCGCTGGATTAAGGCTCCAGTCTCTTCGGGGCGTGGGTTCGAATCCCACCGCTGCCAGTAGGTTTTGTTCCTCATCCTAACCCCTTTTGGTGGCCAATTGGACAGTTCTCACGGACCCCCAAATCAAGCAGGTTTCTCTCCTCTTACCCTTCCTAGGCCAGAGGTAATATACGTACAGTTTTCAAAATAGCGTCAACGCATGAGAAACCTTTAACTCATTATTTCAATAAGTAATTTAATAATTAGTAGGTAGCCTATAATTTAAATAAGTAGTTAATAAGCATATAATGTGTGTGATACTTATTCCCTTAACCATCACTGTATTTTTATCACTCAGAAGTAGGCAACATATAACAGGCCTTTCATTATTTCATTTTTTTAAAGGAAATATTATTCAGCACCTACTGTGAACCAAGCACTTACTTAAGGCCTGCAGATACCACCGGGCTTTCTTATTAAATGACTCAATAAATGATGGACTAATGTATGGCTATCAGCCTCCCTGAATCTGCTTGCAACTGGAGACAGGTCCTTTCCTTGACACTGAAGGAATGAATTCTGCCCTACCCTGGCAAAAAAACCACGTCTCATCACCGCAGCCTTCTCATTTCACATTAAAGTCTAATCATGCTGATCTGCACTGTGGCGAGTCTACAAAGATGCTAGGTCTAGTCTGGGAACTGCCCCTTACATCCCACCCTCTAGGGGGCAATCTGGCGTCTCTGTATCTTGCTGGAGGTATTCTGATACCAGCAGTTCCCTTTGCCTGCATAGCTTCTTCTAATTCTCTAGGTCCCGGATTAGAAATTGCTTTCTCCAGGAAGTCTCCCTGGAATCTCTCGCTACAAACTCCAGATTAAATTGTAATCTTAAGCGTTGAGGATAAAGAAGGGAAAAGAGAGAGGGTATGTCCAGACAACCCTTAGGACATCCCAATGGCCCAAATATGGCACAAATTTTTCTTTAAAAATAAATGAGATTGAACTATGAATGACGTCTGAGACATTGTTACCAGAACGAAAAATGTAGCAGAAATAGTACAGAGTGTAATGCACAGAAGAACACACTTCAAATTGTTCCCAGTAATAGTAGCAGGAGAAAGGAAACTGCATTATAAATTTTACTATAAGCACTTGTTTGAATTATTAACATGAGTGGTTATTTATTTCATAAATCAAGCAAGAAAATCCATAAGGGAAAATTTTTTTAAGGTCTCAATTTGACAAGTGCAGTAAAAGAGAAAGGCAGCATATTGTGGCGTATACAGCAGGCCTCTCCTCAGTCATCTCTCTTTCTCCTTGGCCTCTCCTCATGCCACCTGCCTGCAATGGTGTTTTCCTGTTGGTATGTATTGGGTATGCGCTGGTATCACTCTCCATCAGTTATTTTAGGACCTACCACACCTTTTGAAAAGTGCTGTGCAATTGTCTGCTTTTCCCCATACACTGTTAAGTTTTATCAAGTACATTTTTCTCTTGCTTCCTCACGTCATGAAAACTAGTATTTATGGAATGAATACATGAATGAATGGCTTTCTAATCTGTGAAATAAACAAGTATATAGAAATGAGGAGTCAGCAAAACATGAGATCTTCTGTCTCAGGCAGGGCCATGTTGTCTAAGGTCCCCTTTCCACAGGACACACCAGCTACATTGAGTTCTGGACCACTGATTATGCCACACTTAATTGCTTTTTCTGGACTCATCCCTGCTACCAGGCAACTGTAAACCATCCTTGCTCAGATTACCAGGAAACAATTGTTTCTGGATTATGGAACTCAGATATCACTTACCTGAAACAGTCTCCTTAGTGGTTTTCATGTGTTTGCATTCACCTTGCAATATTTGTGAACCAACCATGAGCAAGTTCAAGGAAATTGAGCTACAACGCCAGCGTTTCTTTCTTTCTTTTTTCTTTCTCTCTCTCTCTTCCTTTTATCCATCCTTCTTCCTTTCTTTTTAAGAAATAAGATGATGCTTCATAAAATAAAAGTGATGCCACCTGTACTAGGGAAGAAAGACTCAATCTTTTACTCAGCTGGAACTGAAATAGCATAGATGTTAGGAAACTCCAGAAGATAGAATGGAGATTTTATGTCTACCCCCAAAAAGAAGGGGTAGTTGGACATACTCAAGGACACCTAATTGTGGGGTATTCTGAACACTGAAATGTTCACCAGGAGCTGGCACCTAGAAAGCCAAGAAGGAGAAGGAGGAGGAAGAGGAATTATCCCCGCTTTGGACTAGTCCAATTTATCCTGTCTAGTGAAGGCAAAAAGTAAACTCTCCAAAAAGCCTAAAGCTGGGCTAGCCTACTGAGTTTTAATTCACCTGTTCCTTCATCAAGTGTTCATCCATTCACTTGTTCATCCATTCCCTCGCTAACGCCTTCCTCTATGTGGTCATGTAACAAGCTCTGACTGAACTTCCACTAGCACCAGACCTTGGACTATGCAAGAGGAATGAGACTGCCCTTGGAGAGAGAGGACAGGTTTTTAAAAGTTCAAGCTGATGACATCAGCTGAGGTAAAGTACCAAGATACTCGGAGATTGCTCAAGAGACGTCTGCAGATATCGTATAATGAGTAAGTGAAGTGGGAGAAAGGAGATATTATATATTTCTTTGCTCCGTTTTAGACGGTAGGACCTGTTTCCTGGGTCGGAAAATGAAGGCACATCACAATCTCCAGGGGTAATAGTATTCCCGGATCCGATCCTCCTTTGCCCCAGAGATAGAGGGAAAAAACCTGGAAAGAAGGCGCAATGGAAATAATGTTTCCAGCCACCTCTGTGTTTGCGTTTGGCATTTCTGTTTCCCGCATAAATTCAGAGATTTTCGGATGGAGGGTGATGTGGATTGCTCCTGAAAAGATTCTTTAGCATCAATTAGGAGGAAGGAATAGAGCTTCCTTTAAAATGGTATTTAATTTTCAAGCGTATTCTATACATCTCACTTTTAGAAAACAGAGCACAAGGGAAGAAATCTCAGATGGACAGTGTGTCCAGACCTTATTAGAAAGAGGTTCCATGGTGTAATGGTTAGCACTCTGGACTCTGAATCCAGCGATCCGAGTTCAAATCTCGGTGGAACCTTTCGTATTGCTCCCTTTTGTCTGGTTTCCCGTGATTTCACACAGTGAAACGCGCCCCTTTTAATTCCAGCTGTTTCCATTTTGATGGGTTTTGGACCTGAGAAAAGATACGTGATACGCGGTCGACTAATAGAACTCTGAGCCAGTCTGTGAACACTAGATGTATGACGTCTTTCTGTTTCCACCAGAAGAATTTTACCCCTGTTCCGTAGGTTAGAGCACAATTATTTAATAAAGTCGCCTTTAACAAACTAAGTCAGAGCACAGAGCAAACGTGCTTCATGATTAAATAGCGAACAAATCGGAAAAGGAATGGGAAAGACCTCACTGAAGGTCCGTTGTTTTAGTTAGGATCGATAATGAAAGGGTAGAGAGAGGAATGTAAACGAAATGGCTGAGAAAATCAGTGACGCTAAGGTGGGTTCTGGGAGGGGCGACAAAAGAAAAAAAGAATGTGTCAGAAGTGGGATTCGAACCCACGCCTCCATTCGGAGACCAGAATCCCCAATGCGAGGAAGCTAAGCTTGAGTCTGGCGCCTTAGACCACTCGGCCATCCTGACACCCCAGCTCCTACTTCCTTAAATGAATAAGTTCTTCAATAGAAATGACTGCGCATCCTGTATAAAGTATTACTGTTCTTATAGTTTAGACTTCATTTAAGGAAATGAGAATCCCCATAAGGGACCTTCTTTATCAAGCCAAGAATTTTAATGCAACTCGCGAGATTCTTCTCCCAATCCAGGCTAGAATTCAGTGTTTCTCGCCTCTAGCTTCCTTCTACCCTTTCCTGCATTCTTCAGTGTCAAAAGTGTAAGGATCCCAACAATTAGGCCGCTGACTGGGGACTGGGCAAGAGAGAACCCCCTTCGCCCGTGACACGAAAGGACGCATGGCTCGGGCTCTGTTGCTTGAGATGCTGCTTGGCAAACCAACCCAATCGGCAGAGGGCTCACCATGGAAGGGAGCGACCCAAGGCAGACCAGGTGAGAAAGCCCGAGAGTTAGTGTGGAACAGAAAGGGGCAGGGTAAGTGGGTTTCAGGGGCTCTGAGCGTGAAGACTGGCTGTCATGTAAGAAATAGAAATTGCTCTGGTCAGAAGGTGAAAAGAGGAAACAACACGGGGTGAAAAAAGAAAGTGACATAAAAGAAGTGTCAGCAGAGTCAACATCCGACATGTTATGCTCCACCGCTCCTAGAACGACAAACCGGTTCATCTTCTTCAGGCTTCTTCTGACCTGAGGTATGTCATTGGAACCGGTGTTACAGGTAACAACACACTGACATTTGAGGGTCCTCCAAAGAAATGGCCGGTTCTCAAGGCAATTCCCCAAAGAGTAAAGTATCCTAGTCCACAAACACCCAGAATCAGATTTTTCACTCCTGATTTTAAGTACGAACAACATGGAAGGAAAACCAGATGTTTCAGGAAATATTTTTACACTAAAGAGAAGGATGAACACAAACAGGAGGAGCAAGAAGGCTCAAAGAGGAAACAGATACAATGCCGGAACTTGGATTTTTAAAAAATTATAATTAAATCCTCAGGGAGATAAGAGAACATACTGCACACATGAAACAAGAAGAGAGGGGACTTCTCTCTGTTAATATTAATTAATAAAATTAATAACATAATGGCAGAATTACTTTTGAAG